CACATTCTCTTCTGAATCCAACTTGAATTTTCAGCAGTTCCCTGTCAATGTACTAGTGCAACTGTTTTTGAATTACCTTCAGCAAAATTTTACTTGTGTGTGATATTAATAATATGATTTGATAATGTCTGCATTATGTTGGATCATCTTTCTTTGGAATGGGCACAAATATTGATCTCTTCTAGTTAGTTGGCCAGGTAGCTGCCTTCCAAATTTCTTGGCATAAACAAGTGAACACCTTTAGTGCTGCATTAGTTTGTTGAAACATCTCAATGAGTATTCCATAGGCCCATTAAAACAATGAAAAATAAAATTACATAGTGTATTTTAGTATACATCTATTTCATAATATATGTTATAACATTGACCTATTGATCTAATACGACATTCCAAGGGGAAAGATCCTTAATCTGCTATGTTAAATTTGTTTGTCTGAGCAGCCAAGTTCTGTTTATTGAGCATGTTCTTCATTACAGGATAAAAGAGGTGAACATAAGATTTCAAAGGCAGCTTGAGAAAACAGTCAATTATTATAATGAAATTGCCAAGAGTTGGAGTTAGAAAACCAAAAGGGAAGAACTCACTCAGCATTTCTCAGGCTGAGAGAACTGAGGAAACAATTTATGCCTCAAATTGCTATATTGAAAGATTCCATGGGCAACATGTTGAATGATGCAGGAAACACCAAAAGAAGATGAATGGAATACACAGAGTCACTCTACCAAAAATGATTGGTAGATGATATTCCATTTCAGGAGGTGGCATGTGACCAAGAACCAATGACACGGAAAGAAGAAGTCAAAGCAGCACTGACAGAATTGGCCAAAAGCAAGGCTCTGGGAATTGACGGAATACCCATTGAGATGTTTCAACAAATGGTTGCTGCACTGGAGGCACTCACTCAGCTATGCCAAGAGATTTGAAAGACAGCTACCTGGCCATCTGACTGGAAGAGATCCATATTTGTATCCATTACAAAGAATGATGATCCCACGGAATGTGGACATTATTGAACAATATCATTAATATCACATGCAAGTAAAATCTTACTGAAGATAATTCAAAAACAGTTGCAACAATATATTCACAGAGAAAGTCTAGAAATTCAAGCTGGATTTGGAAGGGGATGTGAAGCAAGGGATATCATAGTTGATGTCATATGGACCTTGGTTCAAAACAAAGAATACCAGAAAAAATGTTTAATTGTATTTTATTGACTACACAAAGGCATTTGATTGTGTCGATCATAACAAATTATGGATAACTTTGAGAAGAATGGAA